CTTTCGTGTTTAATATAATAATATAATATTTAAAATTTCATAGTGGCACAATGTTATTTTCTGGTGAAAATTTGATATAAAACATAATGAGTGTTTAGGTTCAGTAATTGTTTTAGAAGAAGTATGTCGTGAAAGATACGCCCTTCAAGTTCTATTAAATCAAGTAACATTAAATAAGTCAAAAACCTTTTACAGGAAGGTTAAACTGTGGCAAGTGTATTTTAGAATTTATATAACTCGCGTATAATTACGTTATTTAGTTCATTTTTTTTTTTATTTTTTTTGAAAGGCTTGAAAAGTTTCTTAAGAATCTAAGTGTCTCCCCTATATAATTACACCAATGTTATTTTTGTATAAAACTGAATTAAGTCGGATTCTTGTTAATGTTAAGTATTTATCATTTTTTCGCATTACAAAATATATGTCTAGTAATACACTGAAATTAATTCCCAATGACTTTCTTATCACATTTTTTCTTTTTATTACGTACATCGTTGTATTTTATAATACCTACTGTTTAACTACTCAAATATAAATGTAAACAGTTATTTTTAATTTATATATTTTAAGTTAAGTTGAGATTATAGTGATGTACTGATGCCCAAATTTTGCTGATCGACATGCTATACTAGAACAACTATATCTTTATACGATCCTCTATTAAAATGTCATACACTAATGATATCATGGCTAAAAAAAAATTGTCTACAAATTGTTAATACTGTTTTCTTAGAATATTTATAATTAATATATAATTATATAAGTAGGTACAGAGTAACATTTATTTCCTGACGAAACCCAAAAAACTTTTCATAATATAAGACTTGGTTAACGAACCCTCTCTCAGCCAATTGTAAGCCACAAAAAAATCAAACCCAAATCGGCTGAAGATGAAAACGTCTTAATAAAAGCGAAATTCAATTTTAATCTTATAAAAGAAAAAAAATTATCTACTTTAACTTAAAATACATTACAGACAACTTTATTTTCACCGGCCGTGGGCTGGTCTAAAAAATTATCATTCGAAAATGACGTAGTCGTACAAGGAACAAACAATATAAAAGTAAACGTTAGATAGTAAATTCATTTCAGAATACGTTTGGTTGTCAGGTATATAAACCAATTGAAACCCTATACTTAAACCTCTCTCTATACAGAGTCTGAGACTTACAATTTGTAAAAGTCAAGCGACGTGTACTACAGCGCTAATGATATCTATTTTTCAATTAAATTACTGCCAATTACAATAAAATAAAATAAAATAAAATAAGAGAAACAAGTTTGCCAATCAATCCAAATTCGAAGATCAAACAAATATAATATAATATAATGACGACTATATGGAGTTTATTGACCGGTTTACTGATAATCATGTACGTATTATATCAACAAAAGCTAATATTTCTCTCTAGCAAACGCTAATTAGGTTACGGTGTCGTTACCGAGGCGATCTGCAGGTTATCGGTCGACCCACTTGTGTTGCAGTTACAAAACGTAATCTAACAGAAGTTGTATATTGGCAAAAGTAGTTTTATTTTTAGTAAAAGTTTTAATTTTATTAGCCTCTAGTAACTATGTGTGTATACATAATAATGATATACATTGTATGCATGTGTGAAATGTATAAATGTACGCGTAGAGGTGCTTTATGGTTTCCACAGAACAGGGTCGTAGCCTGGCGTTGAATGCCGTCAAATATGTCAAAAGTCTTTAATCCCTCGTCACCCCACTGCATGAGTTGCAGTACAAATAATAAAAAAAAAAAATACCAAATATTAAAATTCCGCTTGCCATGGTAACTATTGTTGTTGCGTGTGTTTGACAACACGTGTATTGGTCTCCCCGCGTCTTTATTCGCAACAAAACTATGGAAGAAAAATCCAAAACATCGTGTATAGTACTCGCGAACTGGAGAGCTGCAGACGAACATGTCTCGAAAGTAAAATGCCTAAAGTTTACTTCCGCGAATACGTTTATTCACGATTTACAAATTATAATTTGAAGTAACTTAAGCGTGAGAATATCAAAAATTCGTAATTGCTCGTGAGGATAAGAGAAGAGATTTGTTGTTGGAATAACACCAACGCAGCCTTTTTCAATTAATTTTAACCAAAATCATTTACGATAGGTGCATAACAGCGCGGCTGTTTTGTTTAAGATTTCAGTGTTAGATATTTTACTAAAAGCCAACAGGTATCTGGTATTGCCGTATCGGTTGTTATACACAATAATGTTTTTGTACTTTCGGGAAGTGCTTTAAATATGCCATAAATATAATTATTTTGAGCATGTAAAATGTCTATATTTTTAAATGACATATTATATTTTCATTAAAATCGGTACCTAGTAAATTTCACTTAAATTTATATTAAAAAAAGTTCTGGAAAGATGATCTTTTCTAAAATTATAAATTTCAATTGTACATAAAGCTGAAATCGTCACACATTGGTATAACGTCTAACAATGCTGTTATAATAATAATTATTAAAAAATAAAAATGTCTTTAACAATGAAATGGTATTATTTTGATCTCAAATTATATCTTTGAAATGAGCGTCTATATTTTTGTTTTATATGTAATGAAACTAAATTCTCGTTTTAATAATATTATGCAATGTCTACTGTGTAACTAGTTATTTTTATTCATTTTACATATAGGCTATGTGTTACCATGAATTTACAAATCAATAAAATAATATGTATTTATTTATGTTTATATGTCTGCACGTGTTATTCAAGTGTATACAATAATAATATAATAAGCATGCACGCCCGTGCAAAAGTCGCACACACATAGGAAATGTAAAATTTTTTACTGTACAAAATACATCTCTTTTTCCGTGCACATTAAGGAATATGTTTTAAAAGTATATTATCTTCTCTCCACACACTGATATATACTCATTATTAACTCGTAAATTGAATTTATCATCAGATTTTTACACGTACATATTCCATGAAATAGTTTTCGATGGTGCCAAAACTATTTTTTGATGGTTCGGCCGTTTAACAACATGTCGTTAACTTTTAATGAACATTCGTGAGTTCTGACATAATGTTGCACTAAAATTGCACTGCTGATTTTTATTACCAGTACGGTACGCCATACATCTCCAATATGTATTTCCTTTATAGCCTATTAAACGACTTCGAGGAGGTTATTTTAAAGAACGCGCAAGTCTATATTTTAGATGTTTATAAAAATGGGAAATCTATCGTCACAATGCAATGGGAATGATATTATTGAAAAAAAAAAAATGAAAATAAAATACAGACATTCGTAATAACGAATTCGGTTTTCTGATAACGGGAAGAAATGTTTTCTTTCTTCGGCATAGGTAGGTGTCTTTTTTGAGTCCATTTTTGATAATATCATGAGTGTATTTTGTTTTCTTGCATTTTGTTTTATACGAATCGTCAGGTAGAAATCAACACTTTTCCCCACATTCTCAATGTCCAAATAAAAATTATGAAATTTTTATTATTATTATTAAATGTACCTATGGTTCATATTATTTTATCTATGTTTATGACACTGCCGTAAAATAAATCATCAATCAACTGCTCAGAGAGTACCTGCATGTAGTGTGTATTCAATCTGGATGTAAATATTTTAAAATTACATTTAGAAATGTTGCATGATATTTATTTATTGCCAAAATTCACCAGTAGTAGTTACAATAACTGAAAACCATGAATTTTTTCACTAGTGTTACTGTAGTTGTCAGAAAACTGACCTACTCAAAAAAAAAAAAAGCTTGTAATAAATAATTGATCTGGTTGTTTGATGACTGTAAACTCATTTATTGTAATTATCTGTAACTGTAATGATTGAAAACAGAAAAACACTATCCAAAAAAATGTAATCAAAAAACTTGTAAATTAGGTCGTTATGATTCATAATGTTTCACTGAATAAAATATACTGACTTATTAATTGGCATACTTTTTGATAATTTTGTGCACAAAAAAATATCAACACATAAACGTTTTAAACAGTGAAACAAATATATAACCAAATAACTTTTTTTTTTTAATTGTGTTATGTACGAACGCAAAACGAGCAACTAAAATAAATTTTTAAATATTTTATAGTCTACAAAGTATACTCCATTATATAATTAGTTTTCTAAATTATTTATTCGATTTTTAAAATTACACGTTTCTTATCCTTTTTTAGTAAATTTACCCATTTATTATACACCTATATATCTCTACGTAAACATTTTTCTACTACTATTTTTTATGTGTTCATATACAATGATTTTCCGTCGGAAAAATCTAACATTTTATATCTTAACCATTTTTAAATTGTGTATTCAACGTATACGTATTAAATTATTATTATTAAAAATAAATTAAATTCACAATTGAACACAATACACTACTATAGGGCACGTATATTTTTAACAACAATATATTTTACAATTCTTTTGGTCGTATAATGTGCTCTCTTCATAAAAATGCTCACATAAACTACTGAAAAACACCGCAATACGTGAGTGTATTGTAACTTGTAAGCTTTATTTTTTGCCCCCGTTATGAATAGAGGAGTCTTACACACAAACACCGAGTGCTGATTTGTTACAGTACAATGAATGAGTAAATAAATACAATGAATTACGAATGTAAACAAATAAATCTTGTTACGATCGCACGGAAAATGTTGGTGCCGTGCGTATTGCATACGTCATAATATAATATATAGACAACTATAATATGAATATATAATTATGTAATATTATAGTTATATTATCGTCGATGTCTGGTCTGTTTTACATGTGCATAATATTTGACGAACGCACTTAATAGTTATTGCAGTTAGGCATTCGCGAAATCGTATACCATAATATTATAATGCTATATGCATTTATCTGAACCAGAGCCACTTCATAGGTTTTGCAACTACTGAGTGTACACGTTTTTGATACGTTTCTAATAATAATAATAATAATAATAATAACATGTCTGTAATAATTTATTTATTCTTTTGTTTTTCAGAGGAGAAAAAACTTTACCTTCCTACTGACGAAACCACAGAACTGTACTTGTTAGCCTTCTTGAGAGTCTGCAAATTCTACCCGGATAGTGCATTCAAAAGGGTTGGTATATTATTTCGTTTTCATGTATCTACCTACGTTACGTTGTACAAAAATATAATTAACTAATTGATTGGATTTGCCTTTTTGAACGTAATAGCTTATGTTTCCTCGAATGCTTTGTATTCGTTATCACATTTATCATTATTTTATTTTTATTATAGTACGATTTTAAAAACTAATTTAGAGAGTTTTACTTAGAATTATGTAAAACAAGGATTAATGCACAAATCTTAATTTGTTCAATTTGGAGAATACGTCTTAACGTAATATACAATTTAACTTAATGTTAATTATTCATCACCACTTTTAACAGATAATTATTATTTATTTTTCATTATGGTTAACATCGCTTTATATATTTAGATATAATACACTTAAGTTAATTACTAGTATTATTTCCATCATTAATCATTTTATTTGTAAATTTGTAATTTCACTAATAGCCCCAATTCATTTTTTAGGTGAAATTTTTGTACAAATTACGCCAGAAAAATCCAAAGTACTGCAATGACTTACTACCAAGCTTAGAAAAAAACGTCTTCGCTCAAAATATTCTTACAGTCTTACCATCACGTGATCAACACGGAAGGAGAATATTGATCACAGAATGTGGACGTACGTCTAAATAATAATTATTATATTTGTTGTAAAAGTTATTAGAAATGAACTTCATTGTGAAGTAAAATTATTCATCAACGGCCATTGACACATCAATTAAAACGTATAAATGTAAATAAATACGTGTGCCGAAGTGACAGAGTAATGTGTCCCCGAGGGCCGTGACCCAGACTAGATAGTTTACAATGTTGGATATTTTAGCATTTTAAACCTAAAATTAAAAACAGTAAATGCATGTCTAAATTGGGGTATCAGTACTCTGTACTGGTCTCCACTGGTCTATAGTTGCTTGCCTATTTAATTTTACGAATATCTCATTGGAATTCACTTTTTTAATTTAATTTATAAAAAAAAAATATTTTAAGTTTTGGGGTACTTCCTTATGGGATAGGTTTTATACATTTAATGTAAATAATTAATGTTAATAACTATTAATATTGCAAGTAAATCTAGATATCTACTTTAGTAGAAACTAAATACGTTTATTATCTTGTGCACAATAGTACATTACTTAAAAAACATATAATATATTATTATTTATTATGCACCGCGTTGCTATTTTAAGTTCACGAATATTGTCAAGTCGATGAGCTTTATTATTTTTATTTTCTCAAAATGGTGTTATAATATTATAATAAATGGATGTATCATCAATCTAGAGGTACGAGAAACCCTCAATAAATAGCTCTGAAATATGTGCTTGAATAATATACTGCATTGACAACGATGAATAAAACACGATTATAATAATATATAAGCAACTACTTGTTGTTAGAATATCCTTGTTAACCTAACACTTTATGATCGGAACTTTATTTAATATGGACTAATTGTTTGAGTTTCCTGTAGAGAGATGGAAAGTTAAAAATTGCACACTGACAGAGATCTTTCGCGGTGTCGAGCTGGTGATTGAAGCGGCTATTCTCGAGCCTAGAACTCAAGTGTCGGGCACTGTGCTGTTGGTGGACTTTGCTGGTCTCACCATAAACCACGTGTGGCAATTCACACCAAACTTCGCTAAACTGGTTTTGGACTGGATACAGGTAAAGACAATCAAATTATTACTACCTATAATTTAATCGCAGGACATCGCTGTGCGCCTGTGGTTGTTACTATATAGGTCACAAATTAATTTTTAATCCGTTTTTTTTTATATAGTATATATTATAATTATATTATTATGTCAGTTTTAGTAGGTACAAATTCGTAAAACTTAAGCTGCCAATTATTTTTTTTTTATATTCTTGATAATATTATGCTCTTTGTAAATAGTTACTTATAATAATTATTTATGTATAGGTTTGAAAACTTTAAACCATGTATTCCTCACAACTTTAAGCTCAGATTTTTATGATAAATTTATGAAAAAAAATTAGCACATTAAATTTATAATTTAATAATATACGAGCATTTATATCAGTATTTATTTATAAATACATTTTCAGTTAAACTGCAGTATATTAATAATGGTATGGACTATTAACTTATAGTTATCTTCAATAATATAAAATTATCGGTGCCTGTTGCTTTTTTATAAGATATTAAAACATATTATTTATGGAATAAATCTCACGGTGTGGTGATTAATTTTTTTTTATCCACCCTCTGGTAAAACTTGTTGAGATAATATGTCTCGAACACTTTATTAACCACACTACATATTTCAACTTAGGGTTACAAGTACATAAGACTATTAGAGTTTAACCACTACGTTAACTGGGTTATTAATATTGAAGAATTCGATTAATAAATTGATTTCCACGAAAATCGCTAAATCAAAATCCTTGCAGGATATTAAAACATGTTGCAAGCACGCCGTATAATATTGCAGTGATCTAAATAATAATAGTTAAACAATTCCGTTGAACATTCAACGTTACACGTTACAGGTATACCTACTTACCAGTCATAAGCAAAAAAACTTCTTGATTCTGTTTTGATAAAATAACGAGGCAATAAAGAATAAAACTGTACAATTCGTTTTAGTTCTTCTATTTTGCAAGCAATATAATAAGACTATAAAATCTAATGGTCCCATTTCATTATGCGAACAATGAACGAAAAAAAAAACTTAAGCAAATTTTCTCACCACTAAAACATTATTTATTCATCCGAGATTCGAGCTCAAGGACCCGTATATAATAATATACTGTTGACTATGGGAAAGCTATACATAAGAATAACATATGTTTATTGGTACAATTATAGTGAATTATAATTATTCATAAGGCTCATAATATTATAAAATAATAATGAATTGACAAAATTACAATCCAGTTATAATGATACATATTATTCTATTATTAACGGAAATACTAATCCAGCTTATATTATTCAAACGATAACAATTAATTGTATATATTCTCGTTGTTTGTAATAACAACATAATATATTATATTTTATCGATTATAGTTTTAAAACAGGTGGCATAATTTATTTTTCGTAATTACAATCTTAAACATGCATTCAATATTCAAAGGAAGTACAGAACAAAGAATATATAAACATTATTAATTTTGAAAACAATGATTTCAATTTACCTACAAATAGTATTTTAATTATATTCCACAAAGTTATTATTAATAATAATAATATACCAAATTATTCGGAAAAACGATTTTGAAGTAATATCCATATTTAATACATTATAACGTGGATTTTATACTAGAAGTTGTAACATTTTTTTTTTATATAGCCTTTTTTTACGTATGTTTATAAACTACAAAGGTTTCTTGAGCACTGGAGACATACACTTAAGTGAATAAAAAAAAATCACAATTTAAAAACTAATCTAAACTAAATTGTGAAATATTTATTTTTAAAAAATACTAAGAAAAGTATAAAATAAATATAACGCAATTGGTTGTTTGTATCCAATGATTTTATTATTCAATTATTGATTCCTATTAAGGTACAATATAAAAGTCAATATCAATACATTTTTTTGACAATTTGCAAAACGATTTTTATTATTCTACTAACAATTTGAACATAACAAATACAAAATAAAAATGATAAAATCATGTACCTATACAGTAAAAAATGTAATTACTTATCTGATCTGGGAGAAAAATAAAATAAAAAATGAACTAAAATGATTTAATAAATATAATATAGTGTATGATATACTAGTTATATATTTATAATATGTCACAAATAACATTTAGTAGAGATTTTTTTCTCTCAAATAATGCTCAATACATAGAACTCAAGATACATTAATATTATTAGTAACCATTTACTAATAATTATTAAGTACCAACTAATTTTTATTAAAGTCATAAAATTAATGTTGTTATTCAGTACTCTTCACTGGTTCACTAGGACACTAGGTATATAGTTTATATTATATTATTTACTAATTGACGAAAACATTTTGTTTCAGTATTCAATGCCCGCAAGACTTAAAGAAGTGCACATCGTAAATCAACCGTACATATTTAACATGGTTTTTGCAATGTTCAAACCATTTATGCAAGAAAAATTAAGAAATAGAGTATGTACAAACAATCTTAAGTCATTTTTTGGTAAAAAAAAAAAGTTAATAACTACCCACCGAAATATTGCAAAACAAAAAATATTTTGTTATATATTTATAACTAAAGAGCAAAATGCGTATCGCTTTAATAAAATATATGCATAGGTGCAGGTAGTGTATATTATACTAAAAAAAAATAGTTGCGTATCCTACATAATATGGTTTTTAATAATATGTACGACGTAGGTTTATATTATAGTATATTGTAATGATTTCTAGTATACAACGAGTTAAAATTATTAATTTTAATTTTTCAGCTCGTATAACATAAACAAAGTAATCGGATTATGAATGAATAATAATGATAATGAGTACCAGTTGTATTCTTTTTTGAACTCAACTTTAATGAAGATGCACTCAAAACGCATTAAAACGCCGGGTATACCTAAATGTAATTTTGTTTTAACATTTTTTCCAGTTACGAAATATAAAAAAAAATTTAACAGTAGGTGTATAGCTATAAAAAAAAAAAAACATTTATTAATAGTTTATAAACTCATGCAGAGACAAGTAGTTTTATGCATTTTAAAATTCACATTTACATAGCACTTAAAAAAAAAATTAATAATTAATAAATACGTCAATAACATTTATTAAGTCATAACTATAATACAATATAACACCGCCATAGATACAATCAGCAATATTTATCACTTTTGAGTTTTAATATTATGGAGAGTCTCATGTAGGTGCTTTCTATAAAGGTATAATAATATAGGAGTTTATAAACACTTAATATATTTTACTTTTTTACGTGTTTGTAAATCATGTGTTTTTTAAAACATTCATGACAAACTGGGGAGTAGACATAAATATGCATGTATGATGATTGACAGTTGTGTGTGTTTTTTGTCGATTTAAGTATGAGAGCACCAGTGTAGGATACTTCCATAGTGCATTAATTTTGGAAGTCCTAAGCGACGAATCCATTCCATTTTGAAAAATGTATATACTTGTATGTTAGAAAGATCATACATGTTTATGTGAGATGGGCGAGTACTTCTTCTGTTCTAAGTGATTCACTCGCTGAGTTTTTTGATAGGTTTACAATTACTTTGCTTTCAACACACTTACTTAACCACTATGATATTAATATGTTTGTCAAATATATCGTAGGTAGGTATTGTAAAGGTTAATAAGTATTATAAATTTTAATTAATTAAATAACAAACGATACAGATATCTCAGAAGTAGCTACTTAATAAGAGGGGTAGCCCTCGGGAGCCTACTTGTGTTGTATTGCAGGAATACTTAATGGAGTTTCGGTTTCCTCCAATACAGCCACCAGCTTAATGCAAGTTGTTAGTTAATCACTTGGCACATTATAATATATTATTATTTATGTTGTATGTACGCAGTACGTATGTGTTTCGAGTGTATAATATATCAACACAAAAGTTAAGTTTAATTGTGTAGTATTGAATAAACATATTATAAAACTGGAACGAACTTGGAACGAATATAATATTTATTTGTACCTATTCTGTGTTTGCACATAAAGTTAATTTTATCCGACGTTCAACCATGTAGGTACATTCCTATTATTTTTCTTTTTACAATTTTATGACATAATAGATTTGTACAAACATTCTCTAACATTTAACCGGTTTGCTCTATTTAAGATTCTGAGCGGGGAATTTGTGTTTTTTCGAGTATGTGTATATAATATGTTTTGTAGTAGAAAAAATGCTTTAATTTTCAACTTAAATACCTTTACTGTTAGAAAAGTCAATCTAATATCGGTAAGTACTTTAGATAGATCAAAATTAAAACTTTGATAGCTTTCAAAACTATTATAGTATTATTAATAATAAAATGTTTTTAATTTTTTGAGCTATTTACAGACATTTTAAATTTTCGATTTTTTTTTGATTTTTTCCTAATAAATGTTAATAAAAACTGTTTCGTAAGCTCAGAAATTATGAACATTTAATTTATATTAATTTTAAGATAGTTAATTATTAGTGAAATTAAAAACCATTTTTGAACATAAATCCACAGTAATTTTATGAGCCTTTGAAGTTTAAATTTTAAAGAAATATTAATAATTTATATTTCACGTGAAAATTCTTCGAAAAAATTGCTTAAAAATTGCAAACAAGATTTTAAAAGACCAAAATCTATTAACCTATATATTTTATTCAATTCGTTTTGGACTTATATCATTGTGAAAAAAGAAAGTAATACTATGCTGTTTCTCGTTATTGTCACTATTGACATTTATTATATAATGAATACATTTTGTTAAAATTAAAAAAAAAATACGTTAATTTAAATTAAGAATCTACATCATCAATGTAATTTTTATGGACTATGGTGCCCATAACAAATGTAAACAAAGTTAATAGTATATTTACTGTCTAATATTTACTGATGTATCAGAAATTTAGAATTTTGTGTTTCGTTGGTCATGTACGATAAATAGTAAAAACTCGTATAAAGCTCGTCAATTGCGCCAGAACCGATTAACGGGGTTTAATTAAAATTAACATAATATCATTACGTAGACTTTTTGTTTGATAAACCGGCATTTTTATATGGCTATATTCAAAATATACTGGATACGTTTTCGTATAACTAATTTACTTACTTTGACCTTATTTTTTTTTTTTTTTAATAAGGTTCATGCTCTAAGTTTAATAGAAACCTACGTATATTAAATGTGTAGGTACCATAATTATTTTCCACTTCCGGTATCTCAAATTTGATAAAACAAAAAAAAAAAATAAAACTATATTTTATTAAATTAAACTTAAGAAGTACCCAAAGCGACTTATCTGAAATTACTTATTGCATTTATATATTATATAAATGTATGACAGTGTCATCTACATTTATTATGTATATATAATATAACATATTATGTTACGAGAAAAGTAGGAAATTGTTTAATGTCCGATTTTGTTGGTCAAGGGGGGGGGGGGGATTCTACATTGGTTGGACATTGTGTTCAACGACCAAATTAAGGTGGGCAAATGAGATAAAATATAAAAATTACAAAACTGTATCAAACAAAGTAATATTCAATTTCAATCAATTTAACGAACTAAACAAATTATTTTAAGAACCTCCAATAGTATTTTTTAAATTAAAATTATACGACTATTAAAATAAGCGATGAACATACTTCCTGCCATATTAAATTTGATAAAAATATACAAAATAATAATGTTTTTATTTGTTCTTACGTGAACACTATTAATGTACTTAATGTTACAGAATCGTCCGGAAATTGTACAACTAAACTTGTGTGTATCTTATACTATACTACCTACACAAAGTCTTATATTATTATGTAAATCTTTATCTACCCAAATTTATAATTTCCACAGTGTGTTATTATAATATTTAATACTACCCAATGTGCGTCGTTCGAAATACTTTCATTTATTTTGTTTTTTTTTTTTTTCATAATTATTTAACTCAATTTACATTGCTCACAGGAAGTATACTTTTCCCTGCAAATGTAGGAAATATTGTAATTGTAAAAATATAATTTTCACATTTCCCAAATATTTGATAAGGCCTTGAGAACAATATGCCCAAACCTCCTACGTCGTTCATGACGCAATGCATACCAGTGGCTGATTTTTAAATATAGCGGCTTGCAATGCAAATGTCGAGAAATTTTATTTTATAATCGTTGTAAAAATTGTTTCAGATGCTTTTGCACGGTTATGATCACTCATCATTATTAGCACATCTGGATGCCAAATGTTTACCAACTAAATACGGTGGTCTCATGGACATAGAAACCGACCAAGGCATAGATTTATGGAACTTACTGTGTTATTACGAAGACAACTATAAAGGTATGACGTAATATAAATAATTAATAATTTCATACTAACGACTTAAGTGGTCCTTTTATCTATTTTAGTGACAAATGAATTCGGCTACAAAAAGAAGAAATAATCAAAAAATATTTGATGAAACTCAGTAGACTAGACTCGTGTATTTTATGTTATTTATATGTACTATTATAAATGTAGATTATAATTATTTGTTATTGGGTTATTGACCAAAAATATGAATATTTATATATATATATATATATAAGTATTTTTTTTTTTTAATACCTAATTAATTTGCTGTATTTATTATTTTATTCAAATGTATTTATTATAGTATAGTGACTTTCAACACAAATTATCGAATTAAATCAAATTATTATTTGATTGATGATTATTTGTTTGACTGTGTCAAATATTTATAATAATATGATTACATAGTATTTAATCATACTGCAATGGCATGTACCAATATCAATTTTGAAATTAAATTGCATTACAAATTATTTACAATGATATAATAAAAACCTAAATGTTTTTTCTCCTAAGTTTTGTTTTATAATACACATTTTGTAAGATAATTCAACAATTGTATTATTACTTGGATTTTAAAATAAAACAATTTTTAATTGTATTAATTTCTCAATCATTTGTAAAAGTTTTTATGAGTTATCTGAAAAAATATTTATATTGAATTGTTAAAATAAAGTGAGTTGTTTTCCACTTTTCTCTGATGGAGATTTAGTGGTTTAAATATTTGGTACAAAATTAAAAGCTTTAATAACTATTATAATATAGTTGCTTAAATTGTTAGAATAATTTAATACATAACAGGTGCAAGTGACATATAAAAAGTTATTGTCAATAGGTATTGTTTATAAACAATTCGATTTAACCGATATATAACTGGGACGTAGGTATTCAGCTTAAGCAAATTATTCTAATCTCACAAATTAATTATTGTGTACGTACCTATAAGGATATATTATTATTGTACAGAGTGTAACAAAAATAACTGACTAATACAATACATTTTGTTTTCTTTTATATAATTTATAAACACTTACGCTATATATTTATACACGCTATGTAGTATACATTTTTTTGAGTTTTTATTTGAAACAGAAAAAAAAATTTAAAAATATAATTCAATTTTTTTTTTTTAAATTTCAAAATAATATAAAATTTGTTAATCTTATTAGAAGAACCATTTTCATGGTATTAACATTTATCTAAGTCTAGTAGTTTTTTTTAAAATATCAATATTTTTTTTTGGAGTAAATTAATTTAAAACGTAATAACATTTTTCAAAAATTATTTTTGGGATTTTCCTGACATGAGTATATTTCTTAAATTATTTATAATCTATTTAATTTTCATAATTTTTGTTATTTTTTTCAACTAAAATCAATATTTTGTTTTGTCAGGTCTTTTTTTGTAACACTCTGTATATAATATAATATAATATTATATTTAATAATTATCGTGGTTTTTTATGAACTTATGAATATGTATAAGCAATGAGCACAAAATATTGAACAACTAAAATCCAAATTGTCACATTATAATTACGCGTGGAATTCATAATAATTTATAGTGATAAAAAAAGGGGTCCCCTTATATTTACATTAGTTCTCGGAGAATATAATGCATATATAGACTATTAAATAGGACCAATGTTTGCCGAACATGATAACACGAGTTTTTCCAATGTACCCACCTGGTGTAAATATTAAACAAATATTATTTTGAAATAATAAATTTAGCGTACTCTTCTAATCGTGCTTAGGTAATTTTTAGGTCAGGCGAATAATATAAAAACTCGCAGCCCTGCAGGTGGTATAATAATCCATTGAAAAATACTATGCAAACCAAACAAATGATAAGTTATATTATAGTGTTTTATCTATGTAGATCGTAGGTGTGTATATTATTATAGTGCATATTATAATATAAGTACGGCGACAAATACATCGATCATATACCAAACAAATAAGGGATTAAAATTGATATTTTAGACTAGGTATAAGTAAAATACAACAAACATGAATTTAAACAGAACAGTGGGTAGTCATTGCGAGTATGTTTATCCATACTCATAATAATATCTCATGTATGACATCGGATTAAAGGCACTACGTATTATAATGATTCTTACTGCATGAAAATACGTGATGAACAACGTGTTCATTAGTTTATTCGAGTTTCATTAATGTACGCGTATAGTGTTTAGACAACAAAACTTCGTAATGGACACGTTAAAACCACATTTTAATATCAAGAGAGAATTTTGGTTTTTTTTTCGATTGGAGATAGCTCCAATAAACAGTGACGAAAATCAAGAGTAATAAATCCGACGATAAAAGCATATTACAATAATATTGATTTCCGATCTGTGACCCATCGGGATACTAACAAACCAACACTAGCGCTTAGAATTGCCTATAGTCGTAGCCCGAATTGTATTCCAATCATGATCTGTCTTTCGTCGAGCGATTGTTTTATTTGTGTTAGCAGTCAGTTCTAGAGAATTAACAATATTAATATGATTGCAAGAAAACCTAACCTAACCTAACGGCGAAATCGTGGAGTTGTACCCCTTTCTCAAATCCAACCCTCGATCGTGTTCATACTCGAAACCGAATAATTATTGCTGTACCAATAATAAAATACACGTTTTCGTTTTTTAAGACTGCAAACGAAATCCCGTTTCCCGTTAAAACTGTTCTTACTGCTAATCGCATCACTCTATCTTTATATTATCATAATGTTATGTGTGACTCAAATGCGCAAGTATAATACTATAATTACTCTTAGTAGTTCTGACGTATAATAAATAATACGACAAATGATTTCGATTCGTTAACTAACTAGCTCTGATTTTCCATTATTCGCGTCAGAGTACATTTTTAACTTTTATAAATTGTATTGCTTGAATATTCACATTTCACAGTTAAGAACGCACATTTCAAAACTATTGTATTGAATTAAAATTTTCATGTTGTTTTAATCAAATGTATAACCATGTTAAAATATTACAACGGGTATTTTGGTGAAATTTCCAGTCATTTTACTAACCAAATAATAATTTTGAGGAAAATGGATTTCAAAATAATTTTATTGAACACATTACTATAGTATTTTGGAAATCCCCAATTTATAATAATTATGTGAAGGTGTATGACCACCTTACAGTGAGTGCCTAGTGTTGACAGTCACCGGTGATTGTTGACGTTTACCAATCGTTTGGTAAATGTTGTACATTTTACAAATATAGGTACCTCATAATGTGGACATTTACCGGTGTTTGTTGACATCGAAAATATTTATTTAGTGAATGTTTATATAGGTACATACGAATGGAAACCATAAAATTACAATTACAATTATTCTGCTTTTAATAATTATTTAGAGGTATAAATATAGAATAAATAGATAAATAAATGAAAAGTTAAACAACTTAAGTTTAATATTATTATAACAAATATTTTACTCTGTTATTATTTTATATTTACAACAGTATGTTAAACTATGTCATAGCATTTACTGCTGCAAATAATCCTCCCCTGATCTTATAACTAAATTGTGTTGTGTTACATTTTTTTTTACAAAGGCATGTTAGTAGTATGAATTTGGAGAGTCTGAGTTAATTTTTACGGGCAGATGAAAAAAGGTTCAAGTGGGAAAGTTCCACTTGCAGTACATTCGATCACCGTATAGCTAAAAAATTCAATATGTGGGGTTGGGGGTCTGAGTTAATTTTTAAGGGGAGATGAAAAAAGTTCAAGTAGGAATGTATGCCTTACAGTGTAACCAATCTCCATATAATTTTCTAGAGAAAATTAAAAACGATTTTTAATATAATTTTCTGAAATAAATAAAAATGTTTTTTTTTTCTTAATATAATTTTGTTTATTTATTTTTTAATCAGTCAATAGTATTTTACAACAAATATTAAATATATATAATTTTTATTTATTATTTACACTATTTTTCTTACTTCTCTAGTAAAAGATACATATTGAACAATTCAATCATGAATTAATAAACAATAAGCAGTTACACCTGCAGGCGATTCTGATGCTTCAATTTCCAACTGGACATCTACTGCTGAGGCTGTGGCTGAATCGTTCTGTTACGATGTGTCAATAACAATAATTGGAGCGTTTGCTAGAAAAGTAGAAGGACTCAATATAGGATTTTGTTTACTTTTTTCATAGTATGATTCTTGAAACGATGTATACCTATCATATAATAAGGTGAAATTGATTTTTGTAAAATCTAAAATAACTCAGACTCCCCAACCACAGATATTGGAATTTTTAGTTAAACGGTGATCGAATGCATTGCAATCGGAACTTTCTCGCTTGAAGATTATTTCTTCTCCCAACTTAACTCAGACTCCCCAAATTCATACTACTCGTGTTGAAAAATCTTAACCATAACTTTTGGAAACAGCTGTCGTTTCCTGCCTCAAAGCTATCGTCTTATCAGATAAAACGTCGTTTAGTGATTCCAATTTTTCTTCGCACTCTGAAAATTGATTACGAGTGTACAACTGCTGACTAATAATCCTGCGTTCTAGTGTTTTTCTTTCACAATTTTTAGAAGTCATTATCTCATCCATAAGTACGTTTAAGATATATTGGGAATCCATGCGTCCTCGATCGAAATCTGGAACACGCACTCGAAAAGCATCGCCCACTTGAGCAGCCGGACATTTTTAGTTCGACGATTGCAGCATTACACTAGTTTGTATTTTAAGTCCATCTAGTACCAAAATATTTCTCTATTCTTAATTTCCAAAAATAGCTACGTACGGTGCTTGCCTAATGTCTTGAGATGATACTCATTTTTTTCGTAAATTTAACAAGCGAAAATAACTTTATATACTTTATAATACTTTTTACCATTTTGTGTAAACAGAGCTAGGATTTAAAAAAAAATTCAATTTTATATTATTATTACAATTAAACATTATTCAGCTTTTGTGTTTATCGTTATTCAGAATTAAAACGTTATCCAAGTTTTGCGTTTATCCTTATTTAGAACTAAAACGTTATACAAGTCTTACATTTATCGTTATTTAAATTAATGTGAATACAAATTAAATTTAAAAATAAT